CCCCCCCCCACCGGAAACAAGCATGATTCTAAGAACAGTGCCTACCTCACAGGATTGTTGAGAATCAAAACCACGAAACTCTTACAAGCACATGCTTAGCTGTCAACACACGGGAACTACTATTACTTTCCTGCTGTCTTCATCAGATCAGCGTGGGGTGGGAGTTCCAGTCTACTCCCTATGGCACTGCCTTAGATGGGGAATTCATGTTGCAAGGGCAGTCAGCTAGCATCTAATCAGACAGGCTGCACCCTAACTGAGGGTCTCTCCAGGCCCAGCCACAGGTCAGGGGACCTGTGCTATCATCAGCTGGCAACGAATTTCTATTGGTGAAATTAGTGTTATTCTATATACCTGGACGGGAAAAATATCCCAGGCACTGCCCATTCTTAATGAAGCCTGTAGGAATGACCCTACAGAGCCCCGGGTCCTGCCCTAGGGTTAGAGTTGTCACCGCCTGCTGCAGACCACAGAGTAACAAACCTGCAGCAGGAGGAATACCTTAGCTTCTGCGGGTGTCAACTTCCCAGCCAAGGTGTGGCTGGGTCAGCGAAGCAGGTAAAGAGCTCGGCCTTCATTTAAGGGGCAGGTCTCAGGAGCAGCCTTTTTGTGCCTGTTTTATCCAAAACGCGGCAGGACTGGACCTGAGGCTGGCTTTCCTTCGTAGTAACTATCGGGTTAGGGCTGAATGGGAGGACACCACCCAGTGCCAACTTTCTCCAGCTATTGACCAAAGAGAACCCATGAAAAAGAAGTTTGCAACTACCAACTATTCCACAGTTAACCGTAAATACTGAGAAGAGTGGGGGGTGGGGGGGGCAGATGATTCATACCCTCGGGCGTCTTGTAGGTCAACGTGGACATTTCCACCACCGGGGCATCCTCGAAGGGTTGGTTGTACTGCAGGGAGAAAAGGGGGCGTCTCGTTGGGCCCGAGGGCGCAAGGAGCCCCTGACCTGGGCTGGGGAGAGACCCCCCCCAACTCCTTCCCCTGCCCCCGGGCCGCCAAGCCGGCCTCCCTGCTCCCTGCACCCCAAGCCCACCTTCTCCTTCCCTGCCCCCGGGCCCTAAACCC